TGCTGATATTAGGCTTAATTGGATTAAACTATGGTAAACTCATATTATAGTCAGTGAATTGTTCTTCTAATATTTTAAAGAATTGCAGTTCTTAGAAAATGCAATTTTTTTTATTTTCTTGGATATTATGCAAGCTCAAGTCATTCTTGCATGTCTTCAAGATAGTAAAATTTATATGTGTAATAACTAGGAAACAGGATTGGTTGTCAGTATGATTTTTAATCAGTTTTTATATATGTATTTTAAAATTTCTTATTATGAAATGCAGTACTGATGAGGAAGGAAAGGAGGTAAGGGGGTAGGAAAATGGAAAACTCACTTAATTGTCCGTTTTTTATTTCTCTCTTGTTCTTTAAAAAAAATAAGGAAGATGTGCATTAGAATTAAGAAGGGAAGCTACTGTATTAGGACTCGTTTTACTCAGTCGTCAATGTGGAGGTGTCGGCATTTTATCCAATAAAGTTTCTTTGATATTCTAAGTAACACTGCTAGCGAAGAATCAATCGTGAGGTATTGTATATATTTCAGTGTCGATCGTTGGTTTTAAACTTTATTAGTTTTATGTTAGATTTTAATGAATAGCTATTTTATGTTCGTTACGTTCTCATTTCCTTCCCTTACACTGATTTATGCCTTAGTAAAAAATTGGGAAAACTTATTTATTTGTTAAGTTATAAACATCTCATTTTAGTATTGTTTTATGTAAACTGTACATCATTTATTATGAAGTACATGAAAGTGGTTATCCATGATTCCAGTCAGAGAAGCACCACACAATTTTGTTATTATTATTATTATTATATTTATTATGTGTGTGTGTATGTGTGTAGTGTATGTATGTATGTGTGTATATACATACAAACATAAAAAAATCATGGTAGGTGCTTATGGTATGACAAGGAACAGTATAAATATTGAGATTGTGTAACATTATATAAATATCTTTCAGATGTATGGGATGCATGGTGCAGTTTAATGTATGATTTGATTGGGTTACAAAAATCTTCATTCACTTACTAAGCACTAGGAATGGTCCAGCAAAAGTATACACATCAGCCTTTTTGTACCTGCAGATACTTGAAGGTGGTATCAGGCAGCCTTTCAGCAATTCAGCAAAACACCTGCATTTATAAAATATCAAACTCAGGTAAAATGCAGTCAACACCTTTATTTTAAGACTTCCAAAGAAAGAGTGAAACAAGGGAAAGACATGGATAAGGGTGGCTAACATAGAAATAACTGTAGATTGAGAGTAAATACGGTATTTATCTGTTAATATTGCAGTTGTGTTCCCTAGTCCTGTTGCTGTGTGTAAATGATTGTGATGTATCGACTAATGAGTAAACGTGTTGTGAGTTGACTGTGAATATAGGCTATGTAAATACTGCTTTTAATTATAAAGGATACTGAGGTTACAGGTACATTTATGTCTTTTGTGATTTATTTAACATTCCATTTATTGCAGTAGTATATACAAGATATGTTTTATGTAAATGAAAATACATTCGTTGTGTGAATGAATTAGGTTGATGCCTAAATGTAAGGTAATTTAGTTACTTAAAACATTCTTTGGATGTTCCTCAGAAATAAAGGATTCATTTGATCAATTTCATGCCATGAATGCAAGATTTTTATTTTATGAAGCATGACAAATATATTTATCAACTGTGAACTATGTCAAATGTAATTAGTAATTATGAGATTGTTAAAGGTTGAAATGTAAGATAGTGTTACTATTGTTTAGACTGTGAAATATTTGTGTTTGATGTTATAAATGTAGCCAGTGAGTATAGCTATTGAAGTGTCATGCATCCTGCAGCACAAATGATACAAGACACTTTTGGGCGCATGGAAGGCACCTATTAGACTGTCACCTTTTCTTCCCTGTATCAGGATATGGGTAATAGGTGATGAAGTGTGCTCCTTTTGGACTCTGGTGGAGAATGATGTTAATAAAAGAGCCGAGCAAAGATGGGTTGCAGATTTCATTTTGGTTCCTTCATTAGGTCTGTATATATTTAATTGTTTCACGTAAATGTCCCCCCCAATCCCTTGCCCGTTGTTGTCGTGGGGGGGCTTAGGAGGCGGAGACTGGGACCCAATGATGGGGAACTCCCCAACCTTGAGACTCAGCCCTCGACTCAACTAATTATGCATGGTCTTTTTTTTCCCTTCCCACTTTTGTTTCTGTCCCTTCACCAAACCCTTCTGCTATCCACCTCCTAAGGTGTGAGAGCCGTGCTGAAAGGATGAAAGGCTGACTTTGTGCCAGTCCTGAACGGCCTGAGGGAGCCATGGGCACGGTATTCCCCTGATTTAGTTATCTAGCCCTTACCCCTCAAGGGGACCCTGAGGGGTGGACTGCTTTTATCCCCAACATAATCCAGGCTTCCCATGGCCAGTAATGAAAATATATCCCCACTGTTAGGGGCAATGAGGCTTGCCCCTTTATCAAATAGCCCCAACGAAGTAAACCCACCCAATTCCCCGACCCCAGGCTCTCCTTTGACCACGGCTCCAAACACTGCAATAACTACCCCTTCACCAATGCCTACTAGTACAGTAGCCAACAATCAACCCTCAAGGGACATTTCCACTCTCCCAGCATGCCCAACTTCAACACCTCTACCCCCACAACCTCCAACATCAACCACCCAATCCTCCCTTATTAATACCTTACAGCCTTATAGCCCACCTCTCCATAACACTACCTCCATCAACACTACTCCATCTTCGTCACGCCCTCGCCCTTCTACCACCCCTATCTCTAAAACAATCTTGAATACTCTCTTCAGTGCAGCCAAATGGGACCGATTTTTCGTGATCCCTCCCACAGCTCCCTACTCTAACAACACCCTTCTCTTCCAACAATGCCTCCAAAAACAAGTAGGTAAAGTCTCTTTCCGTAGCCGACCCAACCGCTCCCGTCTTGTAACAGTAACATCCGAAAACCAAGCCATAGCATTAACAAAACTAACTGACCTATATGGTAACCCCATCCTAGCAGAACCCCATCCAACCCTCAATACTTGCACCGGAACAGTCTCAATCTCACCAACAAATTGCCCAATCTATGACAAAGAATGGTCAGATTGTGGAGAAGATCTACTTGCCTGTCTCACAGACTACGATGCAACATCAGTACAATGCTATTCCATCCCCCCCAGAGGTCATCGAAAGAAACCCACTAACATAGCCAAAATTACCTTCCGTAGACATGACCTTCCCTTTAACGTCTACATAGGAGGAGAATCCCTCCCTGTTCGTCCATACCAACCTCCTCCACGTCAGTGCCAAAATTGTTGGCGTCTAGGACACCCAGCCAAACACTGCCGTTCCAGCAGATGCCATTATGTGCCAACCTGGCCATACCCGATCTAACTGCTCTGCACAATCACGCACATGTGCCAACTGTGGCGGCCCCCATAATGTATTTTATAGGGGCTGTCCCACCTACAAATTTGAATCTGAGGTAGCAACTCTCAGATTCAAACTCGGACTCACACTGCGTGAAGCCAGACAGGAAGCACGTCGACGTGGATTCTCTCTTACTCCTTACTCCAGTAATACTGCTCATCCTAACACTTCTCCTAAACCCACCCCTCCTACATCTAACCCCCCCACTAACCCCACCTACCTTCCCCAGTCAAACTCTTTTGCCATCCTAAATCCAGAAACTCCAATCTCTACTACAGATACTCCAATCACCACTACAACCCCAACACCTTCCCCTCTCCCTCCTCGCACTCCCCGTAACAGACAGAACAAACGTTCCACCCCCTCTTCCCCTACCACACAATCACCCCCACCATCCTTTGCCCGTACTCTTGAGACACCAGTCCTCTCTTCCCCCCCTCACAAGAAATCCTTTATCCCCCAAAACTCCCCAACCAACTCCACAGAAGAAACTATTGAAAATATTCAAGATTACTTAATGAAAACCGACACTCAACCTACAACTCCTGCTCCTTCCACACTCCAAGTAATTGCTGATATCCATCCTCCTCCTAACGATATCCCCCCTACACCCTACCCTCCTACCCCCTCCCAACACAGCCCATCCCCCCTGACCCCAACCCTGCCCACATTAACTCTCCCACCATCCCCTCTATCCCTTCCACTCCCTCCTGGATACACACGTGAATCCCTTATGTCACAAGTATCCCCTTCCTCAGACCCTCCATCTCCTAATACCCCTCCTGATAGAACACCAACTCCCACACCTCTCCCATCTCAAACCTCTCAGTCCTTATCCCACCCTCTAGCTGCTTCCCCTTCAAATTCTCCAACACGTACTACAATCTATATCACTAAATCAACGAAAGTATAACTATCCTTCATTGGAATATTCGCGGTTTCCGCTCCCACAGACCTGACCATCATATCCTTTCCTCTTATAACCCATCTATTGTATGCCTTCAAGAAACCTTTCTTATGCATACCCTTTATCTAATATAACACCCGACCTTAACCCTTTCACTCACTAATTCCTTTGCCCAGCTTAGACAACTAATCACTAACTCAACCACCCTTCACTAACATTAACTATAGTGCTACATGACCTTAGATGTCTAGCACATTTATCTTGCTTTTAACCATTAACCATTAACCATTCACGTAAATGTATATCTTGGAGAAATCTTAGATGAAGGTTTATATGGTAAAATATCGTGGAGAAACCTTTCTCAGAAAAAAATGTGGACAAGATACAAATCCTCTTTCATTTCAGATTACTTGATACTTTCTCGATAAAAAAAAATGTTAATAGCCCAAACTTAAATGTACTTTGTCAATAACACTGTTTGTTGGATTATATGGAAAAAAATAGGACATGCCTAGTTTCCAACTAAAAATTCTTCCAAGATTTTCACTGAAATTATGAAACATGGGCCTCTTGGCTCCTTATACCTGTTTCGACTACTTTGATAAGGGCACTTTGTAAGTGCCATTTCACGCGTTTAGATTATTTGTGTTAACTCAAGGTCACTGATACCACTTCGTCGTACTCGCTTCTCAGTTTATTGGAATGCGGTCAAATATGTAATCAATACATAATCAATACAATATTAATCATAAATCAATGCAATAATAATACAGTAATAATTGTAGTTGCAGTTACAATTCGACTTAGATTCACTAACAAGATTATATCAGTACTTATAATATTACAAATACAGAAAGAATACATATTACTGTTTCCTAAGAATGTCATTATACCCTACTGCTTTAGGTAAGCAACAATATACACGGACACTAATGTATATCCATACATGAATGTGTATGATACATACGTATAGCGGGAACAGTCAAGGCCTTTAACAAAAGTCCTCTGATCGGTCCTTATGTACGTGTTGTCAAGCCAGTATTCACTCTCAAACTGTTCTATAAACCTGTGATAGCCCCCTTTCGTGAGACGCCCTTCCTTCCATATATACGTCAACACTAGGGACAAGGCCTAATTCAGCACATATAAACACATGGAGGAACACGGCCATTATCCTTATCGCAACCCACGAGGAAACCGTCAACCAAGGATGATATACGCGTGATGCTGAGGCCAGCAGCTACGCCATGCTGATGCTGATGGCAGTGGCTACAGATGTTATACACGTAATGCTAATCCCAGCAGTTACGCCATGTTGATGTTGATAACAGCGGCTACACACTTGTGAGAAAGATGCAATGCATTTCTATCAAACATCACGTTAGCAGAATAGCTGCTGAAGAAGGAATGGAAAAAAAAATCGACTTTATTTTTTCATTTATTGGTGTAGGATTAGTCTCGATACAGTAACAAACTGTCTCTGCTTGACACATAATTGCCCTGAGAAGTATAGCGAAAGATTGTTATCGCTACCTTGTTTCTCTCAGTAATATAATAAATAAAATAAATTACATTATCAATAACTTAACAGATAGTAGTGTAAACATATCAACAATAAACATTCAAAAGACGTTCACTCGCACAAACATCACTCGCTTCATTCCTGACTCGATACAAAAATAATAATCATTCTGTACAGTGCTATACAATGTCTCTTGCTGCCCACATATTGTACACTATATTACACATGGTGATAGAGGTGACTCTTGCCTCACATACTGAAGCTCTCGCACCGTCGCAAGTTCTGGAGGAACTGCATAACAATCACTCTTTGCCCAGAGTCGTTGTGGGGGAAGGGTGAAGGGAGAAATTAAATGACACTCATTACCACGATCCGCTCCACACAACAGTTTCCACGGGAATGGAAGCCGTCATGGTGGTTGTCGCTTTTGGTGAGATTGCGAAGAAAGGGGGATGGGGGGGGGGTAAGGTTGATAATAAAAACGTCGCCGCTATTAGCACGCCAACATAAGATAGTTTACATTGAAGCCTTCCTCCTCGCGGTCGTTGTTGTCGTCGGAATACACGCACAAGTTGATGGGGCCGGTGGCGTTGGCTGGAAAAGCAAGCGAACGGTTAGCAGTTGGAAATGCCTGCATCAAGAGTTGGCCGGCATCAAAGGCCAAAATGAAATGGGAGTTTCCTTTGCTATAAGTTTGAGGCTGAGATGAATACAATTAAAAGACACATATGAATTAGCTCAGAATAGTATAGCTAACTGTAAACTAACCAACAAGCATAACTTATGACATACCTTGAGCGGTTAAAGTACCGAAGTCTCCACACAACTTCTCAGAGCCGATGCCCAGGTAATCGTTACCACAATTGCCATTAATGTTGCCGAGATCCAGCCTGTTGAAGTTCATGCCGATGTCGCAGAAGCCGGGATTGTAGCCGAAGCAAATGCAATATTGCTGTGGGGCGAAAAGGAATAGCAAATCTCAAAATCATGACAGGTGTTTGATTTTTTTTCTTTTACTTATATTCAAAGGCTATATAGTATTGTTCGCACTTCGTTCTACAATTCTTATGATTATTATTCTAGGTTTCATCGTATATTTCACATATTCTACCACAAAATGATGTATGTGCATGTATTTTTGTATGTATGTATGTATATGTACATATATGTTCGTATATATATACACATACATATATATGTGTGTGCGTGTGCAAATGCACTCACCTGATTTGTGAGCATCATTGGTTCAGGACCGAAGTTGAATGAGGTGATGGAGCCTGATGTCTCCTTATAGTACTGCAGGCAACGAGGAGGAGCCTTGCATGGGTCATTCTCGTCTAAGAAGGTTACCTTGATCTTCCAGTTTCTAGCATAAGCCAGTGAGGAGGTCGTGGCCATTAACTTGTAGGGACCAGATGCATGGTCAACGTCAATGTACACTATGGAAAGGAAACATTACCGTCAGCCAAGTGTTGTGAATATAAACATCGCACTGATAATAAACATCTATAACAATAAATTATAAATTTAGGCATTCGCATAATCAAAAAACGTTTTAATAATGATCACATATATGGAAATGAACTGGATTAGTAAGGTAACAGAAAAGTACTAACTGTGCTGTCCTGTGTTGGCGCCACAGATGACTGGGATATTACTGCCAGCGTTGGCTCCCATAACAACAAAAGTATCGTTGTTACAGTCACCGTTAACTGGTCCCATAAGATTGAAGCTTTCGAACTCCAACAAGATCTGGCACGTCTGCGGGGTACCGAAAAATGTATTTATTTCGGATCTTCTGATTTCCGTTGAACACATGTTTGAAAGCATGTTGGTCTGTCCATGTATACGCATTTTTTGGCACATATATGTCAAACGAAGTGAATAATTATAATGTAAATTATTAAGCTGATAAAGATGACGATAAAGGTCAAATGTTAATGAAGAATAATTTTTAATTTCATACAAGTTCGATTTATGCCTAGTAATTTTATAGATCAAGCATGCCTGTTATGAGTGATTCGAGCATTGGGTATTAATCTACTTAAGTACCATTACCAAGCCTTCATATGTTTAGGATGTAATGATCATTGCCATTCTTTAGTACTGTAGGTGTGTGTCGATTTCGTCTTACCTTAGAAAATTGATTGAAAGAGGTTGTAATAAAAATTGGGATACCTATAAATAATGTGTATATTAGTGACTGTAGTGAAGACTGTAATGGCAATCACGGTTCACACTAAAAAGAAAGATGTGAACGAATATTCTAAGTACGCATAATGGAGTCCGTGTTTAAAATGGCGTGGATCGATTTAGATCTGAATCCATGTATAAAAATAAATCAGACCTGAAACACCCACTTGATAAGAATACCGAGACACCATCATGGGTACTCAAAGTCTTTCACACCCCAACTTTTTCGTGTGCGACACATGAAGCCGCGGAGACTCACCCCGGGAGGTGGGTGGAGTGTTACCATGCACATGCCCGGTGTGTAGGCAGATGCGCCGCTTATGAAGTAACCAACATGTCCACTGTCTATGCTCCCTCCGCACGTTCGGTGAACTGTAAAGGTTCATATGAGTTCCTCAGCATGCGGCAGGCACGAACACCATTGTTAGGTCCAAGGAAGTCAGAATAAAGAAGTTGGCATTCCATTTGACTATCTGGGCTTTAGAAGAAAGAGTCGGGAGTTACTCACTATGGTTCACGCCACAACCGCCAACAATCATCCGGATTTATTGGCTTGTCTGAAACTGCGGTATTTGACGTGGATAGTGAGCAATTCACGAAAAAAGCAACTCATTTTACGTCCCCACTTGATTTTCGTTACTCTACGTTCCTTGGTTACGACATGCACGAAGATCACATAAAAAGTACACATGCATTAATCAGTTCCCCGCGGTGCAGCATCCACGCTCTTCTGAAAGGAACTGGTTGCGCGAGAGGCGGAGATTAGTTGTTGTTGTCGCATGCGGTACTTACACCTGTAGGAGGCATGATCTCCACCATACATGTGCCCGGTGTGGAGTAAGTAGATGGGTAACCAGGGCTGGTGAAGTAGGTACCATTCACCGAAATGGTACCATCACAA